AAATTGTTCATTCTCGACTCTCGCGCCCTCCCGCCAAAACAAACCTCCGTTGCCGCCCACTGATTGGAGGCAGTAAGGACGAGGCCTGCAGCACTCGTTGATTGGCTGATTTGCCAGCCTCGTCCTTGACTACTTTAGCCGAGGATGTGGCAAGCAGAAGGGCCACACTGTAGGGTACTCGATGAGGACACGAGATGTTGACATGTGACACAAAACAAAGTGGTGTAACATGCACAACTATTTTGAAATTGAAAAACGCATACGCACGTTCCATAGAACCATGGTATTGTATTTTTTTTGCCTTTAATTCCACCCACCCCAAATTTTTCATGAATTTTTATTAGCTTATCGCGCTATGCGCCCTAGATGATAATGAAGAGGTGCGACTGTTCGCGTGACTGAAACGACTGTCCTATGACGAGCGCTACTTGCTGACGTCATCCTACGGACTTATCTTCTACAAGATGATTCGACACTAACTACACTTAATCAACTTACAGAAATGCTAAGTATCAATTATATCACAACACTCCCCTTCATTTCTGGAAGTTCGGTAGTGTCACTTCTTGAAGATTCCGCAGAGCTTGTTACAGTACTGAAACTGTTGATTCTAGCCTACGCAGCCAATCAGTGATCGGCGTCGACAAAACCATGTAGGTAGAGTGTTTTACAACCGATGACGTTGTAGACTGAACCGACGTCAGGTGTCGAGATAAAATAAAGAAGCGCGCGGAGAAGATCAAGCTGATGCTCCTCCTCAGGACGGCGTAGGAACTCAGCGAGCTGATTGGCCGCGTAGGCTAGATCAGGACGACAAGTGACAGCGGCGAAGAGTAGACAGCCTAGCTGCTGTTGATAGATCTGTAAACCGGTTGAAGTTAACAGTGCGGTGTTCGGTTTGTGGTCAGTCGGTAGTGAGCGGTACGGTGTAGAGACTGCAGTAGGTGTGAGGTTAAAGCGGGCAGCGAGTGTTGCTACATACTTAGAAGCGGTGAAATGAATAGTTGTCGGTGAACAGGTAATGTTCAGACCAAGAAACTGTGAAACTGTTTCGGAGACGGTAAGCTGTAGAGTTTTCTGTAATTTCAGTATGAAGATCTCGGCAAGAGAATCGGTAGTACTGACGTAAAGGATGTCATCGACGTAGGCGACGAGTAAAATATAGTTGTTGCCGTCGGTCAGTACATACATTCCCTGGTCATGTGGTAGTTGACGAAAACCGGCAGTGATCAGTTGTGACTGAAGATACTGCTGCCAGAGCCGTGGTGCTTGTTTAATGCCGTATAGGGATTTTCAGAGACGGGAAATGCTCGGTGGGTTAGTAGTATAGGAATGCCGGTACTCTACCAAGATAAGTGCGTCGACAGGCGCGTAGAGAAACGCATTCGAGACGTCGATTTGTCAAAGTTGTAGATTACGGCAAGCGGCGACACAAAGTAGAATCCGATCACTTGTATGTCGGCCGACAGGAGCAAAAGGTAATTCGTAGTCGATGCCGTAAGTCGGCTCGAACCCGCGGACGACCCATCGCGCCTTGAATTTCTCAAACGACCCGTCTGCATTAGTCTTGACGCGGAAGACCCATTTTCCTGTAAGTACCTTCTTCCCTTTTACTTCTGAAGTCTGTATTAAATCCCATGTGCCGGGACTCTTGAGTGCTGCTAGCTCCTTGTCCATGGCTTCACGCCATTTTTCTCGGTGAGGACTCGTAAGAGCTTGTCGAACGGTTTTCGGTTCAGGTATTTTATTGTCGTTGTACTGTACTGCGACTGCGAACCCCAGTATCTGTAATCCTGTTTCTGTAAAACACGGACGATCTTTGTTTGCACCTGCGAAATTTTCTTCTGGTCCTTCTTCCCCCCCAATTTCGTCAGGCGTAACACGAACTGCTTTGTTGGAGACGACGGGCATCGGCTGCTGTTGGCGATCGCGTTCGTAACTGAGATGAACTTCGCGAACATCATCCTGGTCAGCATCTGCAAGAGGAATGAATTCAGGTATGCCGGTCGAGGTGACAGGTTCGGGAATGTCTGTTGCGGTAGCTTCGGAAGATTCAGAAACATCCTCGTCCTGTACATCAGCTTCGGCTTCGTCAGTTGCAAATGCACGCGAGCCTTCGAACAGCCTGGCAGGATTGGCAGCTGCTGCTTGGTGGGCACGAAAAACAGGCAAAGTGAGTCTTTTATAGAAAAGACTATCACGTCATGGAACGACTTGATTGGAGCGGAGGTCCAAAATCTTCCACGCGTGATACTGTTTTTCGATGCCGAGATGTACCCCCCATTTTGCTCGTTCGGAAAAATTTCCGAGTGCTGCGGTTGGAGGACGAAACTGTACAACACACCCGAAAACGCGTAAAAGTTTTGTGCTCCCCACTGTACGTGTCCACTGCAGGTGTGGAGAAGAGAACTCGGGCAGGGACGTTGAGGAAAGAAGATTGTGTAACAGCACGGCGTGGTCCATCGCATACGGCCAAAAATGCGGTGGAAGGGCTGCCTGCGTCAGCAAAGCACGCATCTTCTCCTGCAGAGTTCTGTTCATCCGTTTTGCTACCCCCATCTGTTGGTGTGCATGAGGCAGTGACTACTTCCGTTTGATGCCAAGGATCTGAAGGTACTCTGTGAAGGTGTTACTGGTGTACTCCCCTGCACCATCACTCTGAAATTCTTGCAGTTTTACGCCTGACTCTCGTTCAGCGACAGCGAGCCACGCGATGAAGATGGAGTGAGCGAGATGGCGCGCAGGTAAGTTTGCTGTCCAGACATGGCGTGTAGATGCTTCGATGAAAGTTATTACATACTTCTCGTCTTTAGGTCCTGCTTCAGATAAGTTGAGTATGTCGCTGTAGACTTTCTGCATCAGTTTATAACGTGTTGAGCCGGGAAAATGACTGGGAAAAGGATCGTGCGTAAGGTTGGCAACTGGACAAGTGGTGCAAACCGTCGGACGAGACTGCGGCTTCATCTCCGTGCCATCAGGTAAAAGTAAACTATTTTTATCAAGAACTGTTGCTCGAATGGAATGATTAAGAATCCCTTGTGATGGATGACCTTACCGCTGATGCCATAAATCTTCTGTGGCTTTGTGTCCTGATGATCGCAGGTAGAAATCGGAGTTAGTATAAAAGGAAGAAAGAATGAAAGGAGAAAGCGCTGGGGACTTGTCGAGTTCTCCTTCGACAAAACGGTTAAGAGGTAACGTGACATTTGTTGGTGTTGCTGCAGTTGCGAGTATAACGTTTGACACTGCTTCTGTTGATGTCGTGGCAGGTATTCCGGCGACAGCTACTATTGTACTTGGCTGCTCAGCTACTGCTTCTTGCTCGGCTTCTTCAACAAAGTCAGGTTCATCAGCTGCAAGACCACTTATCTCTCCCCAAAGTGGTGCTGGAGTTCCTTGGAAGGCTGCACGGGTGTTATAAAACGTTCGCCACGCGGTGGCGCTTTCATCGGCGGTATTGAACTCCCAGGTATCTAACGCGGTAAGGATGGCGGCTGCAGTCCGAGAAGTCGTTGGTACAGTTGTTGCTCGAAAATCAATATCCACGTTTTGATAATCTGTTTCTTCTGGGTGATCCCAGGGACCAAGTGCAAGCACGCGTTCAGAATCGCCAAAAGTTCCTTGTGCTGGGAACTGAAGGACGGATACGCCATGTTGAGTGGGGGCACGACCAAGATAAGTATTCGTCGAATTGTGCCAGAGCTCCTGATCCATTGTGTCACAATTGCCCTGTGTGCAAATTTTGTGTGCCAGGAGTTGAGCCGTGGAAAGAAGATTGAAGCCAAGACGGGCGACGATAAGGACATTAGTAACATGAAGTGAGTATCCCGTGTCGATAGATTCGAGCATGACACTTCCAACTGCTCGTGCCATGATGGTTTGTCCGTTTGCGACTGTTACAGGTATCGGACGACGAAGTGAACGCTGATTGGTAATGAAGCTTGTTTCTGCTGAGCACATGTGCCATCCGCATCAACTGTCAAGATACCAGGTATTCGGACCTGAAATTATGCGAGCGAGGTTAGCGTAAACTTGAGGTAAAGGAATGCCTTCAGCGCTTGTGGTTTCTTCAAGTTGTGTCTCGAAATCTGTTTCTGAACATCAACTGTTGTAACACATCCGAAAAATCCTTTTCCTGATGTGGCAGATGCGAAGACCGGCGGGCGATGCTGAGATGTCGACGGATTTTGCGAAGATTTCGGCATCTGCTGCTGCTGAGACGTTAACTGCTGCTGTGGATGTTGTGTCTTCGGTAACTGCTGCGATCGGTGATACGGCTGCGAAGTTCTGCCACGAGTTTGATGACGACTGCGATAGTTTTGGTAAGTATGTCCTGGTTTCTTATAGAAGTGGCAGAATGGATACTTTGGTGGATGTCGATGCTGTTGTTCTGGACTGGAGTAAAAACTTAAATGAAGCCCCTTTTTCTGATTTCGTTGTGATTGCAGGTCAAGATCTTGCTGCTCTCCTTGAAGATAAGAAGAAATTTCTGCTTCGGAGAGGTTGGGGTTCATGCGCAGGAAGGCGCGCGTCTGTCGCCATTCAGGTCCAAGACCAGCCAGAAGTACCGTGAGATACATCTCACGAGGGAAGTATCCTCCGCTCTTTTCCAATTGATCTCGTAGTGTACAGACACGATTAACGTAGTCCATGACGTTTTCGTTTGTCATCATCTGCACACTTGTCAGCTGCGAAAGTATTTTACTCACTGTTATCGTATCCTTTGCCATGTATACCCCTTTCAGATGATTCCATGCAGTTTCGGCTGGTGTGAAACTTGAGTGAAATGATCGAACGCCGAGCTGCTCCTTCGGCGACAAGTTCCGTACAAGAACTGTATACGCCCCGAGAGAGGCGTGCAAGAAACTCTGCTGCTCCAGTTGTGTTCCCACAACAGGGTATGTAAATTCGCCAGTGAAGAACGGCCATAGCCCAGCGGACTGCGCCAGAAGTTCAAACTCAAAGCTCCAAGAGTAGAAGTCAACACCATTAAAAGGTACGGTTGTCTTGATCTGTGTATTGTTAAGTAAATTTGGAGGCTGAAAAACAATGCCTGGCTGTTGCTGTTGTTGCTGTTGTTGTTGTTGTTGTTGTTGTTGTTGTTGTTGTTGTTGTTGTTGTTGTTGTTGTTGTTGTTGTTGTTGTTGTTGTTGTTGTTGTTGTTGTTGTTGTTGTTGTTGTTGTTGTTGTTGTTGTTGTTGTTGTTGTTGTTGTTGTTGTTGTTGTTGTTGTTGTTGTTGTTGTTGTTGTTGTTGTTGTTGTTGTTGTTGTTGTTGTTGTTGTTGTTGTTGTTGTTGCTGTTGCTGTACTTGCTGTGGTTGCTGATACTGCTGTTGTTGTTGCTGAGCAGGGGAACGACCGAAGATATAGAAAGAATGCTGAAACTGCTGTGACTGCGGCTGCTGTACGAAAGGTGAGAAAGTGAACGAACCAGTACTTGGAGCTGTAGCTCCACGCATGTAACTTGAGCCGTCAAGGCTCATTCCACTGAATGCAGATGAGATCGATTGCGTTGAAACTGGTGGCTGTACCGACGCTTGTTGATGTGCTGTTGTCTGTGATTTTTGCTGTTGCGTTGCAGGTGCAGTCGATGGAGCACCTGGAGTATTCACAGAAGGCGGATTCTGCTGTTGCATACCGATATTAGCGTAGGCTGGTGGAAAGTGCCCAGAGGCTGAGAGACCAGCGGCGGTAGTGGAGGCATGTGCTCCAGTAGTCCCAGTAACTGATCCAGCAGATGGTGCTGGTGTTGAACCAGTCATAGTTGACGATAGTCTTAATTCCAGATAGCTCTCATACCATGAAATAAATCGTCTGATGTTGTAGTATACTAAGTATAAAACTATAAACACAAACACTTGGCAAATCCTCAAGTGTTAGTCCAGGATCTTTGCTGGAATGGTAGACTAGTAAGACAGCGGAAGTCTTGTAAAATGTAAACATCAAGGTTGAATAACCTGAGTATGTGAACTTGTGGGTAATCAAAGTTAATAATGAAAAGTCCTAACAAGTATTTATAGTTCTACGAAAAGTACCTATTCGCTAATGTACCTGTTCGTCACTATCGCGCTATGCGCCCTAGATGATAATGAAGAGGTGCGACTGTTCGCGTGACTGAAGCGACTGTCCTATGACGAGCGCTATTTGCTGACGTCATCCTACGGACTTATCTTCTACAGTATGATTCGACACTAACTACACTTAATCGACTTACAGAAATGCTAAGTATCAATTATATCACAACAGCATCCAGCCCCCCCAAAATCCCCGCGTGTACAGCAAATCGCGCGACAGCACGCCCAGTGGGGCATCATTACTTACAGTTTCGGCGCCAGCACAACGTCGGTGAGACAAGTGCTGAGTCATATGTTGCTCACGGTGTGGCGCCGCAGTGGGTGATTGAGTCAGCCGTGTAGTCTCATTGGCCCATCCCCTTCCAACACACAATGACTCTCCACAGTTGCCCTCAGTGCATCCATACATTGGCAGCATCTCTCTCCCCTATTGGCTTGTCCTGTTAGACAGGGCAGAGCCCTTCCCATTGGCTTGTCCTGCTAGGTAAGGCAGCGGGGCCTCTCCAATTGGCTTGTCCTATTAGCCATTGCAGCATACTCTCCTATTGGCTTGTCGCAACATGCATTCCTAGCTGGCCTCCCCACGAACCTTCGTCTTAGGGGGAACACTCTAATCTACACCATTGAAACGGCTTGCGGTTCGATGCATGCTGAAAGAGAGGTGGGGAACTCCCTTTCTTCTTCACCCTTCTCTTCGACAAGCTCCCCTGTCCGCCAGTATGCCCTCGTTTCACTATCGTTACCGCACCCAGGTTAGACATGCCCCGTAGCGTATCTCACTCGTTTGCTGCGCCAATGAGTTTTAGATGGCTGGCAGCGCCACCACTGATGACGGCGCCGCCGACATAGCACAACCCGTTCCTGCTACAGCACCCCTAATGAGGGGCCTGGATTTTCTACGCCAGCCTCCGCCTAGGCGAGAGACGCCAGAGGCCGTGCCCGCGCTAGCTGTTAGTTCCCCAGCCGTGCCTCTGCCTTTCTCTGACTTACTCCCGGACATTGATGCTGAGCCTTTGCTCGCATCCACTCCTGCTGCCTCTCCTAGCTCTCCCACTGCTTTCGCGGGGATCCCTTCGCCTCCACTCTAAGTAGCCGCGATCCCAGCGCTGCCTTCAAGACTGCCCGCTAGAAGGTACACGCAAAGCACCATTCGATTCGCGCGTACCCGAGTTCCTCACATCAGGCTAGAGACTTCCCGACCTGCTGCTGATGCAACGCCATCTGCGACCCAAGAGGCGGGAACGTCTGCTTCAGCCTCTGATCCGATGCCGAGCACGGGAATCCACTCTCGTCTCATCCCCGACCCCGATGCACTTCTTGTAGAACTGAAGGCGAAGGCCGAAGAGCAGTGGGTGCGAAAATTCCCCTGGCTGCTCATCGACCAACGCCCCGACAGACGTCCGTGCATGAAGTGTCGATTGTGCATGGTGCACGCTCCTCCGAAGTGGCAGTACGGCAAATACGATAATGGAGGTGTCGACATTCAGAAGCAGACGATGGTGAAGCACTCCCAAAGCAAGAAGTACGAGGCTGCGGAGGATCGGCAGAAACAGTTGGATGGCCTAAACGCTGCGCAGCCGAGAATTGTCGATTTCAACGACAATCAGGGAGCCGACGCGCGGTTCAGGCAGTTGATGATTGTTGTGCTTTGGATTTGCAAGTCTGATGCTTCTATTGCTATGTTTGTTTCTCTGGTCCGTCTTCTCTATGATCTCTGCACTCCCCACATCCCCGAGAAATCCCCCGGGTCTTACCAATCTGAGTAAGTTGGGCTCTGCAATCGTTTTGGTTAACTCTAATGCAAAAAACTCTCTAACCGTTGATTTTTTTTCTGCTGCAGGTACGGCTTCAAGCAAATCACAGAAGCACTCGTCATTTACCTACGAGCACAGCAGATGAAGCACATTCAACAGTCGCCATTCGTGGGCATCCAGCTCGACGAGAGCACCGATAGGAGGCGGGGTAAACACATGATTGTGTACCTCACCTTCTTGAAGAACGCCAAGGTGGTGACCGAGTTTTTCGAGCACCTAACAGTTGAGAGGTGTGATGCGACCTCACTACTGACGCTGCTGCTGGACCACCTTGAAGCCACCGCCGTAGACCTGAACAAAATCAGTGGCATCAGCACTGATGGAGCCAGCGTCATGACGGGGGCGAACCGGGGCCTTGTCGCTCAGCTCCGCGCCAGGGTCCCGCATCTCGTGTCCTGTCATTGCATCGCCCACAGGTGAGATTGTTGAATCATATAGTTGTATGGTGGTACCCTGGCATCCAGAAACATCGCTAATCCTAGTTACGAGCTCTTTGCAAAGAGGCGCTCGCGGCTAAGGACGCTGCCAACGATTGTCCCGACCTCGATATCGTTGACAAAGTCGTCCGAAGCCTAGCCGACATCCTTGGCCGCTCCATTGTCGTGCACTCAAGATTCCAGGAGCTGCAGAGTTTCATCCACGACACGACACTCGAAATGCAGGGTATCAAAGGGATTCGCTGGTTGTCTCGCGGTGATGCCATTCAGCGTCTCGTGCAAGTCTTTCTGGCTGCAGTGTTGCTGTTGTATGAGTTCGATGATGACATGTACCATGTCGTTAGCAGCTTTAAGTTCCACTTCCTTCTGTTTTTCCTAGCGGATGTTCTTAAGGAGCTCAACAACTTGAACAAGAAGTTCCAGCGCCGTGCGGTGAGTGTTTGCCCTGCGTGCGCTTTTTAATATCTTGTTCCTAAAACTTATTAACTCTGCTGTCCCTTCAACTAATTTACCTTATGTCCTTCCCACAGGTCGACATCACCAAGGTGGCCCAGCTATTAGAGAACACATGCAGCATCCTCCGCTCTCGCTACGTGGAGTATGGCGTCAACTTCGGCGAGGATTCCAAGCTACTCACCGAGTTTTTGGAGGAGCATGGCCCAAAGAACAAGCGGATGGTGACAGTGGAGGGCATTGATGGCGCTGGCAACCCGACGGCTCACACCTTTAAGCTGCACGAGAAAGCTCTGACAGGCCAGAAGAGTGAGGGAGACATGGAGTCATGCATCTCCCTTGTCACCTTTTTTGTGCAGGCCATCATCCGCAACTTGGAGTCGCGGATGGAGAGCCTCAACAGTCTCCGTGGGTCGAAACTGTTCTTCCCCCACGCTTACCCCGACTCCGTTGCAAAGCGCGACCGTCTGTGCGCCGAGTGGTTCGGTTCACTAAAGGTCCTCTTCAACGCCGAGCAGTGTGCCTTGCCGGGTGAGGATTTCTTCACTCAACCTTACATTAACCATGCACGTGGAAGCCCTCACCCCCCTCCCACCTTGTGATGTGTCAGGCTGTGATTTAGTGACTTATGGTTATTTACCCTCCCTTGTTCAGGAGTTGATTGGGGCAAGGCGAAAAGGGAACTACCTCGATTCACAAGCATGCTCCACGGTCATTACAAGGATACGTCATTCCACAACTGCTTGAAGAACATTCTCAGATCCGAAGACTGGCGCACCTCCTACCCCAACCTCGTTCGCTTGTGGGTGGCTATTGCTATTCTGCCTCTCAGCACAGTAGAGTGCGAGCGCGGCTTCAGCCGCCAGAACATCATTAAGTCTTGGTTGCGTGTGAATCTGTGCGATGCCCGACTGAACGACCTGATGTGCATTTCGTTGCTAGAGTACCCGATGATGTGGGAAGATGTCATGGCTAACTTCCGTGCTTCAGTGCAGCGGCGGCAGGCAACAAATGTCGTGATGCCCCCGGCTAAGCCACCTCTCAGCCAGAAGAGGAAGAAGCGTCTTAAGAACGATGATGAGGCTGTAGATGTGCGTGGCACTATAGATGTAGAGTGTGATTCTGATTAAGTAAATGGCTTAATGATTTGGTGAAATATCGTTTTGGCCTAATGATTAGGTACAAATTTAGAAATGTAAGGCTGAAACTTCTGATCTCCTACAAACTCTACTATAAAACCTCTGATTATTCAGAAACTGAAAGATCGGGCATCTGATGACCAGACGGGCCCTTCGGGCCCGTCTGATCGCCTAGAAAGTGGAAAATGCCTAGCAAGAGCCCTAGCGATGTCCCCAATCTCTAGAAACATTACCCCCACACACACAGCAACCTACAAAAATTGGCCAAGTCCTAATTGTACAGACATTCCTGTTGTGAACTGAACTAGCAAGAAATGAGAAGGCCGCAATGAAATGAACCAATTATCCTAATCTATATAACCTTGTACTCACACATTCTAGTTCAATTATTCTTTCTGACATGGTATCATAGTAGGTTAGGTTCCCCTCCTAGCCCGCCCACGCTTCCGCCCCCTAGGCCCTAGCCACCGTCGTGCCCCGCTCCTAGCCGGCCCCCTGGCCGTCGCGTCCATCCCTAGCCGGCCACCTGGCCGTCGCGTCCGCCCCTAGCCGGCCCCCCGGCCGTCGCGTCCGCCCCTAGCCGGCCCCCAGGCCGTCGCGCCCGTCCCTAGCCGAACCCCTGGCCGTCGCGCTTGCCCCTAGCCGACCCCCGGGCCGTCGCGCCCGTCCCTAGCCGGCCCCCTGGCCGTCGCGTCCACCCCTAGCCGCCCCCCTGGCCGTCGCGTCCGCCCCTAGCTGGCCCCCTGGCCGTCGCGCCCCTCCCTAGCCGCCCCCCTGGCGGTCGCATCCGCCCCTAGCCGGCCCACTGGCCGTCGCGCTCGTCCCTAGCCGGCCCCCTGGCCGTCGCGTCCGCCCCTAGCCGGCCCCCTGGCCGTCGCGTTCGCCCCTAGCCGGCCCAC